CACAAAGCTAAATATGAGAAACTTACTGAAGTCACCAGTACATAAACAGCAGCGACTTTTTACCAGAAACACAACCAGCAGGAGTCTGCACTCAGGGAATTTTATGTCTTCTTAATTCTTGATAAAGTAGGTGTTTATTTTTGTTTGCGCTAATTTTATTCATATTTATTAAACAAGAGTACAACTGTTAAAATGACAGTTTTATTACATTTGGGTAAGTGTACATTACTATGTGGCCTTCTATTTACTTTTAAAAAGTCAAACGATTCCTCTCAACTGAATTGAGTAAAGGTAATGTATTTACTTTACATAATGCATTACTCAATTCAGCTTTGTAGAACCATTTGGCCTCATTTATCTTACTTAAATCTATGTCATCTGTTTTGTAAATGTTCATGACATATGTTGGTGTAATCACTGATTCTAACACTGGGTCACTGTGATGTGTACATAAGTCAGACAACTAACCACACAGCATAACACAAGTGTTTTGGTTTATGTGTTGCTGGCCCATGCATGGAGCGCCTCTGGCAAACTGCATCTATGTCACCAAAGGGCTGTCATTCTTTGCTGGATCTGGGTCGAGCATTACTGCTCAGGTATGAACATGTGGGCAAGAACTGGACTTATTTTGCTATGTGGGATTAATCTGGGAGGTATCCTCTGTTTCTGCTGACCTTCATTCTCTAACTGATGTCCCCACTGTTTTTTCATTTGCGTCACAGAATATAGCTCTTTTTTAAGCCCTGGTCACCTGAACGAGGTCAGCTGTTACACTGAATCCAGGACTTCCTGCTGGGGTCAGCAGAAACTGAGTCACCTGTACTGGTTCTCATAAGTTCATGTGCATCTCTGTACCAGTGCCCAACAGCCAGTACCGGGTCACGCCCTCCCCTCTGGATCCCCCTCTTCACTCGTGCCTGTTCTCCCTCCCCTCGTGCCCAAGGTGTGACAGAGAGCAGCCTTGTTCTGTGGTCCTCTCCTCCTTTCCACCACGACCCCTAAAAAATCCCAGATATCCCTGCAATTTCCGGTGCAATGTTTATTTGGCAGAAAGTGGGAAGGGGCCTAAAGAAAAAAGGCYTCACTCACAAACAGCTTGGGTCTGCGTTCGTGAGTAAACATGTGCAGGAGGGGTGTGCATGGCGAGCGGTAAGAAGGACTGAGGCCCATGTGTTCTCGTCCTGACACACAGATCCCACCTCAGCAGGGACACAGAACAGGGCTCTGTTCAGGGGCCCCAACCGCCCTCGAGACACCCCTCAGCTGCTTCAGCTCCATGGACATCGCCCTCTGCTGGAAGATAGCAGCATGGCATAAGAAAAATAACATGAAATTAAAAACAAACTGGCATACCTTGACGTAACACCACCTTTTAATGCCAGGGTATTAGTCTAAAGTCATGTTGTAACTATTCACTTGTGTGAAACATTTAAAATAAAGTTTAATCACAATCTCATTAATTATTGTTGGGTGTTGTGCTCCTAATATGTGTTGGGAATGACTTTCAGCCACAATCAAATCAAATTTTAGCTCAATCTCTGCAAAATTTACTGAATTATAACCATTATGTCTAATGTGGATTAATTGAGGTGGCCATCTTGAATTGGGTTTATTTCAAAGGTTAATCAGTTGGAAATGTGCATCTAATTATTATCTTCTGAAAGTTTCATTAAAATCTGTCCAATAGTTTATGAGATATTTTACTTACAGACAGGCAGGGCTGAGTTCAATACTAAAAGGCAAACTTTTGGTTGCAAATCTGGTGCAAGGACCACATGGCGATATTGACTAACTCGACTGCCTGAAAATATTTAGGCTTTGTTTAAAACTCATTCATCTTCATGGGTCATATCCAACATATTTGTTAAATAATTGCTGGTATCTTCATCTTGAAGCTGTATCTACTGCAATGACCATTGCCAGTGGTAGACAGTAATGGAGTACATTTACTTGAGTACTGTACTTAGGTACATTTTTTGAGTATCTTTACCTTTTTTTTGGAACTTATGACTTTCACTCCACTATATTTTAAAGACAAATATTGGACTTTTACATTTCTTACAACACTGCAGAACAACGGTGGAGGTCTAAGAGTGGAAGGAGATTTTAAAGGTCCAACTATCTTGTCGAGGCCTCTGTCCATCCTGTTGAAGTGTCACAGCTTCTGTAAAAGTCCACAATGAATAAAAAAAAATCTTATTTATGGCTTGTTTTTGGGAAAGATGGGAAAGTAGAAGAGATCAGTGTACCAATAGTCCAACTTCTCATTCTTACAAGAAGAGGAAGCTTTCATTTTCTCAGAAACATCTCATTAAACCTCACGTGGATAACCAATCAATGTTTTAATGATCTTCTTTTCTGTGCTCCTCTCTCCTCAGTGTCCAGTTCAGTCTCTCCGAGCCTGACTTATGTTTTTATTTTCTCAGCGCTGGACGTCACAACCCACCCACTCTCTTTCATCTCGTTGCCCTCCTGAACATGAAACAGTTGATCTCTTATTCTTCCATTGTGATAAATAATAAATTTAGGTGGTATTAATGTAGTCCACTTAGTTTTCCTTCTGAGAACAATAATCCTGAGTGGGAGTTATCTGAGAGTTTAATTAAAGCCAGTGGTTCCTGGGATATTTTGCTAACATGACAGTTAAWCAAACTTACACACAGAGAAAGAAATCAATACACAATCACCAGGTTTTTATGGTAGTGGTTGTTGGATCTGATCTGTTCTTCAACCTCAGTTTCTCATTTTGCTGAATGAATAWCTGTTCAATCCATCCATTATCTTTACCCCACCTTCTTCCTTTCAGGGTCACTGGTGCATATCCAGCAGTCACTGTATAGTTTCATCAAGCATCCAACATGGATGACTCACAGTGAGTTTGGTGCAATTCGGTCTATCTATGTGGAAGTTATGGCGTTTTGAAAGTCTTGGTGAGAAGGTCAACCTCGAGGCCTGGCCACGCCCCCTCAGCATGCTCAAAAACTCACCGTTTTGAWTAATTTTAATCCCCCATGTCTTAACAGTATACTAACCAAGTTTGAAGCCGATAGGTTAAAATCCCTAGGAGGAGTTTGCAAAAGTTTGACATGAGAGGGGCAGGGGACACCCACAGGCCGCAAGTTTAAATAGATATAAGTTCACAACATTTTTTAGCACTTTCTGATTTTCTGGAATCATTCTTAAGATGTTTATTTCCTTTTTACAAAAAGATATTTCTATTTCAAAGAACAGAAACATAAGTTGGTTTTGCTTAAGTTTAAGATTGAACCAGTCAATAAATCCAGCCTGTCAGAGACCTTTTTAATTAGATAATACTAGCACTAATACTGAAGAAACTGTTCATTTTCACATGATGAGATCTTAGTTCA